ATACTTTATTCTCATGCACCTATGCCTTCTAATGGACCAGGCCCTTAGTTTGAAGAAGAAAGAAGAGGGCCCAAAAAGAAGGGAGGTTCGGTTAGGAGTGGTATTAGCTATGGTCTATTGCTTTTGGAGAGTGTATTATTTACGACATTGATATGATATATGATTTCTTACCTTTTTTATTTTTTTGAGTAATTCCTTGTTATTTAGTGCATTGGTGCATGAATGATACCACTATTTTTGTATCGTGCGCGAGGTTGGATTTTCTCTTATGATAAATGATGTGAAGCGTTGTTTACTTAATCAAATAATGTCTTCTTGATTTGATGTGCCCTGGTAGAAGGATGGCATCCGTAGGGAGGAATATATGTGAGCAAATCTGTAAAAAATCCTTTCTTAGCTGATCCTGATCCCATACTTGATCATTCTCTTCAGCAGTCAATAAAGCCTTTCTGTAGTACTGTCATAATATTCCGTTTGATACTTCATTTGATCAAATGTGGTTTATCTTTTAAAGAAAATACATATTTTTTTTTTTTTTACGGTGAACTTTTATGCTTATCAAATGTAATCCCAATTCGTTGATGACAGAGAAAACGAGCAGCTTTCCAAATACGGTGACACAAAGACAGCTCGCAGCATAATGTTGATAGAGCTAAAAAAACTTATAGAAGCAAATCCTCTTTTCCGTGAGAAGCTTGTTTTTCCTACTTTGAAGTCGTCTAGATTGAGAACACTTATTAATCAAAGGTATGATGAAATTCTCACCTGAGATGCTTGCTGCTGTACATCAAGAGACAGATTAATGTTCTCCCATCTCTTCGCAGTTGTCCCTTTGATCTAGCATTCCTCTTTATGTCTTATTTGCTAACAGACCTGCACATTAAGTTTGACTTTGTTGTCGTATTTGCAGTCTGAATTGGCAGCATCAGTTGTGTAAAAATCCTCGTTCAAACCCAGACATTAAAACCTTATTCACTGATCATACATGCACTCCTCCAAATGGTGCTCTTGCACCTGGTCCTGTGAATCTTCCCACAGCAGCTGTTGCAAAGCCTGCTGCTTACACATCTCTTGGAGCACATGGGGTATAATAATGTTTCTTCGGTCTCGATAATGTCTCATATTTGATATTTTATGCATTCCTATCATCGGTATCATGTATATCTAGTATCGGGTGTCTGAATTTTTGTTTTTCCGTTCTGTTTTACGGGTTTGCAGCCTTTTCCACCTGCAGCAGCAGCCAACGCTAATGCATTAGCTGGTTGGATGGTAAATGCTGCTGCTTCTTCATCTGTTCAAGCTGCCGTTGTTACTGCATCATCATTACCCGTCCCACCTAATCAAGGTTAGACCTTTTTGCCTTTAAGTTTGCAGAATACGAAATATCCATGGTGTGCCTCTATTTACCGACCTTTTTGAACAGTTTCAATTTTAAAGCGCCCAATCACACCCCCGGCAACTCTGGGTATGATTGATTATCAGAATGCTGACCATGAGCAACTGATGAAACGCTTGCGTCCTGCACAGTCAGTTGAGGAGGTCATATAATATTGCTATTTTGGATTTTATTGCTATTTTGGAATGTTGTCTAATATAATATTACAATAACAAATGTTTTTCTGTGAGTTACATGCTTGTTTTTTTGTTTTATTTCTCTATTTCAGGTAACTTATCCTACTGTCCGCCAACAGGCATCTTGGTCTCTTGATGATTTGCCTAGGACTGTGGCATTCACGTTGCATCAAGGATCTGCTGTGATAAGCTTGGATTTCCATCCATCACACCACACATTACTCCTTGGTACCTCATCACTGAAAAATATGCTATTTTAAAATCTTGGCCTTGCTGTCTTTACCATGTGAAGTTGATGATTATGGTTGAATTCTATTGTTAACTTGGGGTGGCACTGCCAGTTGGATGCAATAATGGCGAGTTAACACTTTGGGAAGCTGGGATAAGAGAGAAGTTGGGTTCAAAACCTTTCAAGATTTGGGATATACAAGCTTGTACTTTGACATTCCAGGTCTGTATGCTCTCATCTATTTTTATTCTTTTGTTTCATTTGTTTTTTCTCATGGTTTAAGAAATAAATTTTCTGTGTTGTGTACAATTGTTTTTGTGATTCTTATGCGCGACAGATGCTTGTTGATAGTTTAAGAACACTTGCTATGCCATTAGAAGTGGTTAGGGTCGTTCAGACTTATAGTTGTCATTTTCACTTTACATACTGGGCTTTTTGGACAGGCTTCTGCTGCTAAGGATGCACCATTTTCTGTGACCAGAGTTACGTGGAGCCCAGATGGATCTTTTTGTGGTAAAATCGCCTTAGCATTTACTTTAGGTGGTATTCTCTTATCTCATATCATATGAAGATGTAATGCTTGTGTTGCAGGAGCTGCATTTTCCAAGCATTTAATCCATTTGTATGCATATGCGGGACCGAGTGATTTACGTCAGCATTTGGAGGTATGTTGTACTGGCTTGCTGCTTGTTCCATTCAAGGTGAGAGTTTATGGAATTAATTTTTATCCCGTTATGCAGATCGATGCTCATGCAGGTGGAGTGAATGACATTGCATTTGCTCATCCAAATAAGCAGCTTTGTGTTGTAACCTGCGGTGATGATAAGTTGATAAAAGTAAGTTCAGAGATCTTGAAGTTCTTTCATGAATAATATGGCAGATATATGCTTTAGAACAGATGAATGAGAGAGAGAGATCTGTTACAGGTGTGGGATTTAACTGGAAGAAAGCTATTCAACTTTGAAGGCCATGATGCACCTGTTTATTCTATATGTCCTCATCAGAAAGAGAATATTCAGGTATGGCATCAGATTGCATAAGCATGTAAAGCTTTTCAGAAAACATAATTGGTGTAAAATTCACAGCATTTTTAGTTAAAAGTTGTGAGTTCTCTACTGCAGTCTTTCCTCATTGCCTCTATGACCTATATGTATATAGTTATACCTATTTGTGCCTCAACTTTACTGCCATAGTACCCTTTGCATGTATAATACGCTATGCAGCACAAAGATGTTTCCCACGTGGTGGGTGCAGAGATGTCGTTAATTGACTTGTTGTGGGGTCAATCGCCGCTACAACTTCTCCCAATGAACGATTATTCACTTTGCTATCAACATTTGTGCCTGTTACCTGCTTGTGATCGGATGACATTCTTTAGTATATGAATTATTTCTGCTCTTTTGTTTTACGTCTTGTAACAATACATTATTATATCCTTATGCTTGCAGTTTATTTTCTCCACTGCTGTTGATGGGAAAATCAAAGCTTGGCTGTATGATAATATGGGATCTCGGGTCGACTATGATGCTCCTGGTCATTGGTGTACCACTATGCTATATAGCGCAGATGGAAGCAGGTAATATATCAAGTTTTTCTTGTTGCTCAGTTATGGTCTGTCCGATTCAGATAGGAATTAGGATGCGGCATGTCTGTCTATCTACGTTGTTTTGACAAATAGCATGATTTAGTGCTTGTTAGCTTCTTTCCTCTCATCACTTAAAGCATTTCTCTCTTTCCAGATTATTCTCCTGCGGGACAGGAAAAGACGGGGATTCATTTTTGGTTGAATGGAATGAAAGTGAAGGCGCAATTAAGAGAACATACACTGGGTTCAGAAAGAAGTCGGCTGGTGTTGTGCAGTTCGACACCACTCAGAACCACTTCTTGGCTGTAGGTGAAGACAGCCAAATAAAGTTTTGGGATATGGATAACACCAATATACTCGCAACAATTGATGCAGAGGGTGGTCTTCCTGTAAGTCCTGAACTCCTGATATCTAACTTTGTGACCTGAACTATAAAATAACCAAAATGGATGAGACTAATGTGCCTAGCCTTCAAAGTCTAATGTGTATGTTTTGGATAATATTTTTTTTTTTAAAAAAAAATATTGCATTTACTTTTGATGCAGAGTCTTCCACGCTTGAGATTTAACAAGGAAGGGAATCTGCTTGCTGTTACTACTGCTGACAATGGAATTAAGATATTGTCAAATGCTGCTGGCATGAGAGCATTAAGGACTGTTGAGGCCCCGCCTTTTGAGCCATTAAGATCCCCGTTAGAAGCTGCATCCATTAAGGTTTTTTTTTTTTTTTTATTCTTCTTTTCTGTCCATTTTCCTTTAGCTGATGGACGGTCGTTGCATGAAGCGTGTATTTCCCTCTCTTTTGATCAGGCTTCTGGATCATCTGTTGCAAATGTTGCTCCTTTGAGTTGTAAAGTAGAAAGAAGCTCTCCTGTTAGGCCCTCTCCAATCCTTGTATGTTAAATTCTTATTCTTTTATAAGGTTATTTCCAGTGTTTCTTTCAATGTTAGTTGGACTGTTGTTTTCCTTTTGGTGACAATATATATTTAAACTTTTTCGATTAGCTATTTACTTCGTGAAGGGTTTGTTTTCCTTGCAAATGGGTTTTTATGTAATACATTGCGGCTGTTTTGTTTTGTTTTGTATTCCAATTGAGAATAGCATTTCGTGGGCCTTTTGTTTCAGAATGGCGTAGAAACTCTGGGTAGGAACGTGGAAAAGCCTAGAATCTTGGATGATGTTAATGATAAGGTGAAACCCTGGCAGCTAACTGAAATTGTAGACCCTGGTCAGTGCCGTATGGTAACCATGCCAGACAGTACTGATGCTACGAACAAAGTAAGCCTGTTTAATGGTTTTTTGGTTGCCCTTTCTTTTCCATGTTGTCTTTTTTTTTCTTTTTTTTTTTCCTTTCTCAGTGGATTATCCGTTTAAGCCGATTCATTTCCAGGTTGCTCGGCTTCTTTATACAAATTCTGGTGTTGGCATATTGGCCCTTGGGTCGAATGGTGTCCAGAAGCTCTGGAAGTGGGGCCGTAATGAGCAAAACCCGAGTGGAAAGGTAATATAGAAGAAAATAATATCAGTATATCATGTCGCATTTTTCTTCCCTGTCCGTTCTTTCCTCTTCACGATCCTCTTTTTATTCTCTCATTTGTTTATATCTGAAAAATCTGTTATATTTGTGAAAGGCCAACGCTAGTGTTACTCCACAACATTGGCAACCGAACAGTGGTCTTCTTATGACTAACGACATCTCAGGCGTAAACCTCGAGGAGGCTGTCCCGTGTATTGCTCTTTCTAAGAATGATTCTTACGTCATGTCTGCTGCCGGTGGTAAAGTCTCGTTGTTCAACATGATGACATTCAAGGTAAACTGAACGAGTTTTATCGGCCTCTCGTATATAATACACTCGTTTTGCTAGACATTTGTGTTATTTGAAATTCACCCGTTTGGCCGTTTTGTACAGGTCATGACGACATTTATGCCGCCACCACCGGCTTCAACATTCCTAGCATTCCACCCACAAGATAACAACATCATAGCTATTGGAATGGAGGACTCGACTATTCACATTTATAATGTGAGAGTTGACGAGGTATACAAATATATTCGCTCAAAATGAGTTTTTTCTGTTAAATTGAGTTAATTTTGAAAAATTAAGGTATAGTTAGTTGTTAATGGGATTTTGAGGTTATATTAAAATAATTTTTAAAGTAAAATAATTAAAGTTGATTTGATGTAAAAGTAAGAGAGTGATGATGTGAATTGATGGTTAGTTAAAATTATGTGAGTGAATGAATAAGGTATTAAAATTGATGTGATGTATAAGAATGATTGTTTGGTATTATTTAATTATGTTAATAATATTGAAGATAGTGGAGTTGGGCTAAAGTTGAGTTAGATTTTGTGTATGAATTGAATAAATTTATAAACATACACACACCCATATTATATCTATTTCGAACCTTTTTTGTTGTTTTTTTTTTTTTTTTTTTTTTTTTTTTTTTTTTTTGTGGTTTACTGTTTGAATTGCTACATAAGTTTTGGATGGCAACATTGATAGGTGAAATCGAAATTGAAAGGCCACCAGAAACGCATTACCGGACTAGCTTTCTCCACCACCCTCAACATATTGGTCTCATCTGGTGCCGATGCTCAAGTAAGCTTTTTTCTGTCAGTTTAGCCGAACATTCATCATTGTTGGGAAAGTGAAATTTTTGGAGCATTTTCCTATTATTGCTCTTTAAATTAAAAGTTTTTAAATTTTTGTGATTCTATCTTATTGAAAATTCATGTGATTTAAGTTGGTGAAAAGAGGGAATCAGTGTTTTAACTATATTTGAAGAATCATGTCCATATTTGAGGGTCAAGTAAGCAACGCCCAGTCGATTAGAATTGAGAAAATTCTGTCGCTACTCGCTATTGTTACAAACATATGATTCATGGGGAAATAAAGTAATAGACCGAACGGAGTATGTCTTATCCCTGAATGGCGCAAAAATGCCATTCTATAGAAGGAACATATTTTTTTTTGAATTAAAAAAAAAAAAGTATCCTACTA